ACGACCACAGTGAGTCAGGACCTCGGTTTAACGTCTCATCTGAAATACGGCGCTCACTGAGCAGTACAGAGTCACCATCAATATACTGCAGCGTTAGGACCCACACAGACCGCAGGTTGAGCGCCACCCGCTGGCTGCACTAACACCGCTTCGGAAGGACTTCACCAGTAAATTCAACAAAGCGCTGTTCACAAAGGCAAGGACGTTCTGGAAATTTTAGGAAAAAGAGCATTCACACATCCATACCAAAATACCGGTGCATTCATTAACCAGAAATTACCTGCAAACGGCAGCGCTTGTATTTGTAAACATAGAAAGGGTCAGGTTTTAGTTGATGGTTTCACTTTTCATTCAGCGATCACAGGTTTTAAACATTCTTCGAAATGTCCTCTTTTGTGTTCAACAGAGGAAAGAAACTCCATTAAAACCACTTGATGGAGAGTAAATAGTGAGTAAATGTTCACTTTTAGGCGAACTGTCCCTTTAAATGTGTACAGCCTGATAATCATTTAGCCATATATCATGTTAGTTATTTTGACATATTGCCGTTTAAACTACTATATGACAAACTTTTAAATAATAGATATACAAAATGGTGTTATTTAATCCAACATGTGCCCAAAATCTTCAGCATTAAAGGGATAGTTCACCCAAACATTTAAATTCTATCAGCATTTACTTGTTTGAGTTTCCTCTATTAAACAAAGTAAACTATACTGAAGCATATTGGAAACCTGTAACCATTGACTTCCATAGTATTTGATTTTCCCACTATGGAAGTCGATGGTCACAATTTTTTTTACAATCTTCAAAACATCTTCTTTTATGTTCAACAGAAGAAAGAAACTCATTTAAAACCACTTGAGGGAGAGTAAATAGTGAGTAAATGTTTACTTATGGGTGAACTGTCCCTTTAAATTTGCAGCTCAATAATCATTTAGCCAGATGTTAGTCAGATTGTTGACTTATTGTAGATGAAATATTATATAATAAACATTTAAATGTGCAAACTAGTGCCATTTCATCCAACATGAGCCCAAATCAGCAATATTAAAGGGATAGTTTACCCAAAAATAAAAATCCTGTCATTATTTACCCACTTTTTACTTGTTTAAAACTTGTCTGTGATCTTCTTTTAAACACAAAGTTATACTGAAGCATATTGGAAACCTGTAACCATTGACTTCCATAGTATTTGATTTTCCTACTATTAAAGTCGATGGTCACAGTTTGTTAAACATTCTTCAGAATATCTTCTTATATGTTCAACAGAAGAAAGAAACTCATTTAAAACCACTTGAGGGAGAGTAAATAGTGAGAAAATGTTCACTTATGGGTGAACTATACTGTTAAATTTGCAGCTTAATAATCTTTTGGCCATATATCATGCATGTTATTTTCACATATTGCAGTTTGGAAAAACATTTCAATAACAGATGTACAAAACAGCGTCATTTTATCCAACGTGAGCCCAAATCTTCAGTATTAAAGGAATAGTTCACCCAAAAATGTATTTATTTTCCCACTATGGAAGTCGATGGTCACATGTTTTTAAACATTCTTCAAAATATCTTCTTTTATGTTCAGCAGAAGAAGGAAACTCATTTAAAACCACTTGAGGGAGAGTAAATAGTGAGAAAATGCTCACTTTGGGTGAACTATCCCTTTAAATTTGTAGCTTAATAACCATTTGGACATATCATGTTAGTTATTTTGACATATCGCAGATGAAATATTATATAACAAACATTTAAATTTACAAACTAGTGTAATTTCATCCAACACGAGCCCAAATCTTCAGCATTAAAGGGATAGTTCACCCTAAAATGAAACTTCTGTTGTTATTTACTCACTCTTTACTTGTTTGAGTTCTTCTATTAAACACAAAGTAAGTTGCACTCAAGCTTATAGGAAACCTGTAACCATTGACTTCCTTAGTATTTGTTTTTCCTACAATGGAAGTCGATGGTCACTGGGTTTTGAGTATTCTTCAAAATATCTTCTTTTATGTTCAACAGAAGAATGAAAAACGACTTAATGGAGAGTAAACAATGAGTAAATGCCCACTTCTGGGTGAACTGTCCCTTTAAATGTGTAGCTTGTAATCATTTGGCCATATCATACTACACAGACGTTATCTCTCCTTGACCTTTTCTGTCTTTCACACGCACATGTATTCATTACTGTGACTCCATGTCTCTCACTCCTACGAGTGTCATTTACATGAGTCACAGAAGAGCAGTATGTTCATCATTGGTACGCCGTGAGAGATTTACCCAGCAGTCACCTGGCAAATGGCAGTGCGTTCATGAGGAGTGGAGACAGTTTGTTCTGTCAGTGTGTGTGTGTGTGGTTGTGACAGAAGGGGCTGGAACGTCCTCTGTTCAAACATGCTGCATTTTCCAACAGTCACGAGAACTGAATCACTCTCTTTATCTCTCGTTTCTGCCCCCCCCCCCCCCTCTCTTTCATTCTGTCCAGTTTGAAAAGAGCAGTTTGGTACTGTGATGAGAAAAGGAGGGGGAAAGGGAAGTAGTTAGAGCGGATGGAAGGCTCAGATATTTTCTCTTTAGGAAACAGTGCCGCGCCCAGGCCTTTGCGCTCATGGATAGCGTAGCCCTTGATTAATGTTGAAATGTTTTTCCTGTCAAATGGGTGTCGGAGGCATGGAAATGGGATTTCTGTTTCTCCTTTTTTCAGTTCTGCCATGCCTAGAAGTGATGGCGTAATGGATGATTTTCATTTTTACTTCTTTGGGGAGGATTTTGAGGCATATTTAACCCAAGAAATAAAAAACAGCAACACAACTGCTTCTCATTCAGGTCTGTTATGCTGTTATGCTAATGAGGGAGAGATGGTCACTAGTGGGCGGGGCTTTCCCTCTTTGACACGTACAAAGGAAGTGTTTCTGCAGACTCTTTTGATCAAGTGTGGTTTTTAAAAACAGAATTAATTTTTGCCATTGGAGGCTGGTTATATTCACCCACTGTCACCACATAACTGTGTTTAAACCCCTTATAAAAGTCATTTTTGCATAATACTGCCCTTTAATGCTAGTTTATGAAATTATAGTTCATTGTTAGCTCATGTGAACTCATAGGTAGGGCCAGACAGAATCTGCTGACATTTTTGCTATTTCTGCTGGGAATTTTTGCACTATGATTAGTAAATGCTGTAGAAGCATTGTTCATTGTGTGCTTATGTTATTAAAGACATTAACTAGCATTTACTACATGTCCCATATTGTAAAGTGTTACTGAAAAATTGAACATTATTACTTTTTGCTATGACCGAAATTCAGCCGTAATGACACAACCTTTATTTTTTAGTGAATTATCCTTTTAAGAGAAACTAAGAAATGAAGATATCCCTCCAACAAATCAGAAAAGGGCTCAAAAATGTAAAGAAGTAGGTGGACGGTTGTAAATACAGGTATTAATGGACTCTACAACACTTTAAGGTTGTTTACTTTCAACACTTCCAGAGGAAGTCCTTCACCTTTTCAAACATGCATTCACCTTTCCCTCAATCCTACCCTCAAGGAAATCAGAAAGTGGACACAAATGAACAAAAGAGAAAGTGAACATCGGCGCAATAGCCTAGTGGTTAGCACGCTGACATATGGTGCAAGAGCACGTCAGGGCGTCGCGAGTTCAAATCCCGGCTCGATGACATTTCCCTACCCTACCCCCTCTCTCTCTCCCACTTCGCTTCCTGTCTCAATACTGTCCTATCTAATAATAAACGCCAAAAAAAAAAGAGAAAATGAACAATGCTAAATACTGGCGTAAATGGCTAAAACATTTTGAGCTTGTTTACTTTCAACTGATTTTGATTGCTTTTGTAGTTGAAATGCTCATGTAGTTAAATGCATTCAAGTAGCCACGCTGTATATTAACAAAGATCAGAATGGTCAGAAAATAGGATACATTCACCTGTCCCTAGATCCTTCCCTCAGAGAAATCAGTAAAGTGGATGAATATGGACAGAAGGCAAAGTGAACGAGTGAATACTGGCGTAAATGGGGTCTAAAACTTATTGAGCTTGTTCACTTTCAACCACTTCCAGGGGTAGTCGAAAACACATTGGTTCCATAGTTCCAAAGTCATCTACTGTTAAAAAAAATAATAAAAATAAAAAAGGTCAGGAAAAGACCATACATTCACCCGCCCATAGACCCTCTTTTTAAAGAAATTGGGAAAGTGGACAAATGAGAAAGCAGACGATGCTAAATGCATGTGTAAATGGTGTCTAAAACACTGAGACAACTTTCCAGAAAGGCAAGGCAGTGGCGCAGTAGGTAGTGCTGTCGCCTCAAATTAAGAAGGTCGCTGGGTCGAACCTCGGCTCAGTTGGTGTTTCTGTGTGGAGTTTGCATGTTCTCCCTGCCTTCGCATGGGTTTCCTCTGGGTGCTCCGGTTTCCCCCACAGTCCAAAGACATGCGGTACAGGTGAATTGGGTAGGCTAGATTGTCCGTAGTGTGTGTGTGTATGTTTCCCAGAGATGGGTTGCGGCTGGAAGGGCATCCACTGCGTAAAAACTTGCTGGATAAGTTGGCGGTTCATTCCACTGTGGCGACCCCGGATTAATAAAGGGACTAAGCCGACAAGAAAATGAATGAATGAACTTTCCAGAAATATTCAAACACAAAATTACCCAGATTGCTGTCATAGTTTAAGTGCACAAGTAGTCGAATGCATTTGAACAGCCACCTAATTTACTTCTCCTTAAAGAAATCAGGAGAGTGGTCAAAAGTGAATGCAAGAAATGAATTAAAACACCAAGGGTAAATGGCAATGTCTCTCCATCGTGTACTTTTGACCGACAGACCAAAATGTATCTTAGTACCAGGTGTAACCAGGGCTAAAACAAGACCTACATATTATCTGTTTGAGTCTGTTTTGAAAGTGGTCGCAACTTGATTTGCAGTCAGTTTATCTCACTCTTGAATGCTGTGTCTAAATATTTCATCTTTTCTTTTTGTCTGTTTTTTTTTCAGCTGTCATCCCACTGACCGACTCGGAGCACAAGCTGCTGGCGTTGCATTTTGCGGTGGACCCTGGGAGGGACTGGGAGTGGGGGAGGGATGACAATGACAATGCTAAGCTGGCAAAGTAAGACCCCTGTTTCTCTCTCTCATCCTACATCCACCCCTAGAGCGAGCTTAGCAAAATTACATTAATAACTTGAGAGCACACTCTAGACTTCATGAGGGGTGATTGAGACAAGGGGTCAACTGAGGGTCTGTATCTACATGCTATCTTTACTATATGAGGGATTTAGATGGGCTAAATCTGTCCAGAAGGGACCCAGCACATGGCACCAAGCCACATTATCCTCACAGAGGTCGTTCAGACTCATTCGCTCAAAAAAAAAAGCCTGTGCTTGTTCCAGAATTTTATCAGTTGCATATTCCTGCATTTAGTCTTATGGTTAGGACAGCTTGTCCAGGATGTTTTTTTAAATCGGAGAATCTTCCAGAGGTCGTACAATTAAAGCTTATAAATGGATTGCAGCAGCTCCACCCTAGTCATAATTTACAGAAGGAAGAACAGAGACTCAAAACAAACATCTGAGCTGAAGTGACTGTAATGCGCTGGCCTCCAGTCCATTGGCTCCGTAATAGGCTGATAAATACAAACTAATTGCTATCATTAACTGGTGACTAGATTTATGCACTGATTGAGTTCTGAGTCACGCCACAAATGGTTTAATTTCTACCATTCCTCAACTGGTACGTAAGAAATTGCATCTGGCCATCTTTCTGTAATTATTCAAGCAAATCTGTGTGACAGATTATGTTGTGGAAGAAATGTTTTAACTTTGTTTTCCTCTCCGTGCAGTCTTATTCTATCACTGGAAGCTAAACTGAACCTTCTGCACAACTACATGAATGTAACATGGATTCGAATTCCTTCTGAGACCAGGGTAAATGCTTATTATTTTTTATATTGACATGATTTGCAAAGCCTGCTCCTGGAGGGCAAACGGAACTGTTTGCAAATATCCTAGACCGGGGGAGCCCAAACTTGCTCCTGGAGATCCACTGTCCTGCAGAGTTTAGCTACTCCAAGTAGACACACATGAACCAGCTAATCAAGCTCTTATCAGTCTTACTAGAAGCTTCCAGGTAGGTGTGTTAAAGGGCCATGAAACCCCCTCGTTTCAGCAGGGTGTTTTCACACCTCTACTTTGGAAAAAGTTAGAAAAGTGGGCGTGTCCAGCTCTGTTTAGGGGGGAGTGTCGGAGGAAGAAAAGAGGCATGGTGTGGGAGTGTCTATTTGGGCGCGCTGAATTTCAGAGTCAAAACACACACCCACAGGGGACAAAGTGACTGTGTTTACATGGACATCTGTAGTCGAATTATTTGCCAAATTATTAAATGGTGGACTTTAACTGCAGTTTGGCTCTTTCATTCAGGGAATTCATTCATGTCCTTCGCGACAAACGAGATATTTGATTCGAGGAAGTGCTGTAAGCGTGTATTTTTCATGCAATGTTTGATACAGCACGGCGAATGAGAGAAAAAAAACTCGGCATTTCCAGGAAACTTAGATGCACTCGGCAGGTAGCGTCAGAAAGCCGCGTGTGTTATTCCAGTCACTAAATGCGGCGAAAATCCTACACAAGGTTAAAGTTTGGTTGTAGTGCTAACATGTTTACACTCGGTGCAATAATTTGTTCGATACAAATAAAATACGAACTGAATAAACAAAGAGCACTGGTCGCTCACTTATTAAATGTGTAGAGACAGGACAATCACCAGCAACTAGAGCCGCGTCTTTATTAAGAGAAGACTACAAGCGAATCCAGATCTCAGCGTTTGCAGATGAGAACAGCTCTCAGGTAAACAATAATCCTCCTTAGACACGTAAGTTATTGTTGTCGCGCATCGCGTACACTGTTAATCCACACGTGACTCCAGCTGCGCTCTCACAGAGAGAAAATGAAAACGAAACTTAACTGCAGCAAAGTATAAAAGCAACACTTCACACTTGTTTTGCCAACACAACGTGGCGTCTCTGTCGTCTAAACACTATGACAGTAATGAATATTAATTAAGTTGCACAATAGAGCGTGCTGATTGGTTTGAACCAAGCCTTACTCATGCATTAATGCATCCCACTGTAAGACGTAATAAGACACACTCTGGCACAGACGTCCAGTCTGCACGCTATTATGTCATGGTCGTGACGCAGCTTCAAAAATTTGTTTCAAACCGGAAGTACGAATTTGCTTGAAATAACGCAAAAACAACCAATTTTTACTTTTTAGTGAAATACAGGTGTCCTAATAGTGTTTTAGCAGTGTGGGACACATATACGACTGTCAACAGCTCATAACATGTGTTTTGGTGTTTCGTGACCCTTTAAGGCAAGTTGGAGCTTAACTCTGCAGGGAATCAGCCCTCCAGGACTGACTTTGTGCCTGTCCTAGACTTTTTTATTGTTGTTGGTACTAAACTGCCTCCTGGAGCAGGGTTGTTTTCTTATGTGTAAAGAAATCTTAAGCTTTGAGTCCTAATGGCCAGTCTGTGTATTACAGGCTCCCTTGGCTCAGCCAGAGTCGCCCACTGCCTCTGCAGGTGAAGATGTACAATCTCTGGCAGAATCCATGGACTCAGACCGGGAGTCTGTTTGCAGTAACTCCAACATAAATAATGGCAAGACAAGTAAGGATAAGGACAAGGACAAGCAACGCAAGGATAAAGACAAAACACGCACAGACTCTGTGGCCAACAAACTGGGTAGCTTCAGCAAGACTCTGGGTATTAAACTTAAGAAGAATATGGGTGGCCTTGGAGGACTTGTCCATGGGAAGATCAGCAAGTCCAACTCAACCAATGGAAGGACGGTGGAGAACGGAGAGCAGAAATCCAAGAAAAAGGACTCGAAAACACGAAAAGGAAGCAAAGAGGAGTCAGGCCAGTCGGCCAGCACGTCCTCCTCAGAGAAGGCAACCAGTCCCTCTCCCACAGACCGTGCTTCTGGGAGCTCACCTGTTGAGAGACCACCAGGATCGGGCAAAAACTCTGTAGATCGGACTCTTGACAACTGGAAGTACAGCACAGATGTCAAACTCAGCTTGAATATCCTCCGGGCAGCCATGCAGGGTGAGCGCAAGTTCATCTTTGCTGGTTTGCTGCTCACAAGCCACCGGCACCAGTTTCATGAAGAGATGATCAGCTTCTACCTGAGCAGTGCCCAAGAACGCTTCAGTGCCGAACAGGAACAGAAAAGAAAGGCTGAGACTGAGAAGAAGCCTCAGACTAACGGCGTGGCACTGAAGAAGCCCGAGCAGGAGAGTGTTTTCCAACGAGAGTGTTCAGATAGCTCTCCGCCTGAAAGCTGCTCACCGGTGTTGCACCCTAGCCATAATCCTTCCCTTGGATCTGTGAAGGTCCAAGAAAGGGGAAGCCCAAAGCTTGCTGCTTCCCCCATCCCTATACCAATCACAGCCTCCATCCCAGGATCCTCCATGTCCCCGGTCCCCTTTTCCTCCCCCAGTAATGGTGCTAAGAGACCCGGACCAGTCCCTGTTTCAGCTCACTATAGCCATACGCCACCAATCCAGAGGCACAGTGTCATCCACCTCAGAGATGTCAACGTGCAGTCATCAAGCTACAAAGATGAGTCCTACAAGCCAACGGTGGGCACACTCAAAACTTGTGCCACCTACCCACAGCAAAACCGCTCACTGTCCTCTCAGAGCTACAGCCCAGCCCGCATGTCTGGCATCCGCACAGTCAATGCCGTGGATACCCTCTCGTACAACATGCCTGGGGAACACAAGTCCCACACTTACACCAACGGCTTCAACGCTGGCGACATTCGGGACTGTTTAGAGTTTGCAGATGAGGATCCCGCGCCCCATGCCTGGTTGGGGCAGGACAAAATCAAAGGGCAGAGTGGTGTTTGCCCAATGTACTGTTTTCAGCAGAAACGCTGCAGGAGGGAGAACTGCACCTTCTACGGCAGACCCGAGACGGAGAACTTCTGCTCTTATTGTTATAGAGAGGAGCTGAAACGCAGGGAACGAGAGTTGAAGGTGCATCGACCTGGATAGCCCTGCAAGCCCACACACATATATATCCACCTCGGATGTGTGTGGAAAAAAACAACAACAACAGCAGCAACACCACCACCTTTTTTGCACTTTGCAAGTGATACAAAGAACTGGCATAACATTTTCCTACTATATTTAAGATCGGCCTCCTTGTATTCTTGTTACTTTACTCTCAATAGCGAACGAACACTGCTTTACGATGACAGGAAGTGCAACCAGAATCAGTTTACAGCTTTGGCCAGAGATTGTGTTATTGTTTGTCCTACGTCCGATTGAATTCAACCTTTTACTTGTTCTAGAGTAAAAGCTCTCGTATTTTGCTCAGTCCGTGTTGTAAACCTTGTACCTTCGGAAAGAGGTGTAAAAGCATATGTCAGTCTCTAACGGGAGCTTCCCGAATCATGGAAGGGGAAAACTCTTGTTTTTGAGATCATTATAACGCAATACTTCACAGCATAGCTCTTTGGAATCGTAACGTTGAATAACATCAGTTTTTGCTGTGCGTTGCAAATAATTACCAAGGGAGGGAGATGCACTGTTCAGCACGTGGATTTTTTTGAAAGCAATAAGTTTGGTAACAACCGCCACCCCTCCCCCCTTTTATCTATGCATTCATGACGTCAGCCATATTCTACTCTTTCCCCATATGATTCTAAAGGGAAACTGATATGATTAGTCTGCTGTACAGGGATTATTATGGTGGAAAAATATTCAATATATGGCATATCAAAGATTGCTCTTGTGGTATATACTGACTTTCCATCGTGCAGTATACTGTAATATAAAGCCTTCAGTAGAAGGGTTTGCGTTCCATCATGGTCTCAAATGAAACCTCACTATTGTGTGCTACTTGACGTCCGGGAGGCCTTTGGACTTCCATTCATTACTGTCTGTACTTGCAATATATAACACAGTCATGCTAGCGAATGCTAAATTACAAATACCACCTTACCTTAGGATATAAGTATGGAATGCAAACCCTTACAAGCTTCGGCAGTGGACTACAGGTGGGAAGCTTTTGAAACTGTGTTCGTGTGAACTGTTTAACACCACAGCTCGGCAACAAGCAACTGCTTTTCAACATTCTGTAGCACTCATGCTAACACTGCCATGCTAGCCTCTCACGTGCCAAAAGAAAGGTCCTTCACCTCCATTTCATTTGTCCTCAGGAATATTAGTCTTAATCACACGGCTGTGATTATCATATACATAAAGCAACTAAATTTATAAATTGGATGTTTAAAGGTACAGATCTACCTCTCGAAAGCAATTCAGATGTTTGACTCGTGTCCTAACCAGGCACAGTTATTAATACTAGCTGCAGTCTTAATGTCTATGACAAATTTACAACGTTCACAACGTTTGTTTTTTTTTAGACAAATGAGAATGTGCAATGAATAGAGTTACGCGATGCAATAGACAAATATTTAACATTTTATATTTAAACAAAAGCTTGGGTTTATCTATTCCTCGTCATTTTTGCTGTATTCTGATTGGCTAGGAAACGTAAAACCAAATTTCAGATGTAAAAATAGTACACTTTAAACTACACATTTTTATTTATTTTAAATTCAAGTGAATCATTTTAAATTCTACACCGAAACCCAAACTTCTGCGCATCACAAGAAATTAGTTTGTCAGAAAGTGTTACGTTCAATAAAGAGCTATGTGGAAACCAACCAATAGAAATGATTAAATGCCTGCCACTTATTTAATGTGCCTAGTTAGAACGAGTTTTAACACAAAACCAAGTCTCTAAATGTACAATTGAATATTTCAAGTGTCTTTTTGTTTTTAGATTTCAATCACGGCAGTGCAAACACTAACAACAAACAACAACATGCTAAGCTACCCACTGACTAAAAGCTGATTTATATTTCTACGTTGAGCGCAAGCGTTTGGTCCAACACAGCCTTTGCGCGATCCCATAGCCCTTGCTGTGGCTGAGGCTGACGTGCACCTCTCAAAAAATGTGACTACATGTCGCAACGACACAGCTCTGTGATTGGTCGCTTGATAACAGTGCCGAGTGTAGGTGGGGCTGAGAGCTTCGAGGCTGATAGAGCGAGTGTTTACAAGTGTCGAGTCCCGTGAAGGAGCTCTACGTGGAAACTTTGGTTTGTCTACCTTGTGATCAAAGTTGTTACACGTTCACCGGTTCCCGCCTCTGAATAAACGAGTTTTAGCTACTTGTAGCATTCAGAAAAAACAAAACAACCATGATGAAACTCGACACAGAGGAACTTAAAAACCTGCTGCTAGCTAGCATTTCAGAGGCATACCTGCCAACATTCCCGTTTTTCCCAGGAGTCTCCCGTATTTCAGCCCCATCACCCACCACCCTCCCGTTTTGTTATTTCTTCCTGAGTAACTCCCGTATTTTCAGGTATCCCACCAAACCCCCCCACCCCCTCTGTACTTTTTGGTATAGTCTGTCACACCCCTGGGTCGCCAACTTTGGTATAGTATGCGATTGCCTTGGTCAACCGAATCCTGATGCATAGTACAGTTACAAACACGGTTCTTAGCTGTGTTATTCAGACACCTTTCCCCCGACACCAACCGCCCCCTTCCCCCCACCACCACCCGCCCCCTTCTCCCCACCACCACCCGCCCCCTTCTCCCCACCACCACCGGTCTCCCAGAATTTAATTTCTTTCTTTTCAGCCTAGTTCCTTTATTAATCTGGGGTCGCAACAGCGGAATGAACTGCCAACTTATCTAGCATATGTTTTACCCAATGCCAACCCATCACTGGGAAACATCCACACACTCATTCACACACATACACTACAGATATTTTAGCCTACCCAATTCCCCTACATGTTTTTGGACTTGTGGGCGGAACCGAAGCACCCGTAGAAAACCCACGCAAACACGGGTAGAACATGCAAACTCCACTGAGAAACACCAACTGACCCAGCCGAGGCTCGAACCAGCAACCTTCCTGCTGTGAGGCGATTGTGCTTCCCACTGCGCTACCATGCTGCCCTCTCCTGGATTTTTAGAGACGAATATTGGCAGGTATGTTCCAGGCCCGGATTGGCTAATGTTACAGACTATACCAAAAAGTACAGAGGGGGTGGGGGGGGTTTGGTGGGATACGTGAAAAATACGGGAGTTACTCAGGAAGAAATAACAAAACGGGAGGGTAGTGGGCGATGGGAATCGGGGAACCGGGAGAATTCCCGGTGGGCCGATCTGTTTTTTTGGCCGCAAGGGCCGGTATCCCTAGCTCCAGAATCTGTTGCTCTCAGCAGTCACACTTTTTAAATTTATTTATTTATTTATTTACTTGACCACAGCCTTTTTATTCATTATTTCACCGCAGCTCTACTCTTTTTATCTATTTTTATCTTATTTTACTTGATGAACTGCTGTTGTGGTTCAGTGGATAGCACGTTAGTTTACGACGCTGTAGACGCGGGTTCGATCCTCGTCTAAGTAATTTCGTTTTTTTCATTTATATTGTGACATATAATACTGTTAGGGTTGTTGAACATTTGAAGTTCTAAAGCAGCTGTTTTCTCAAAAAAAGATGTGATAGTGTCATTAGAAACTGATTTGGAAATGACCTTATTTTAATATAAGTTAGTCAGTTGTGAACTGAGGTACGTGGGCCGGTCTGAGGCTTGAAACTCCAGGGCTGAAAAGGAGTCCCACTATGGCCCTGGTATGTTTGGAGGTGTTTTTGCAGTGCAACACCAACAGCGCGCAGAAGTATAAATGCACGACTTTGCCCAAGGCATCACTCGACGCAGAAGTATAAATCAGCCTTACCTGGCTAAACAAACATGTCTTACACGATACATAAATAACTAACATAAGCGTCACACAGCTCAAAGATCCAGTTCCCATTGTGCGCTAGAAAATCAGGATGTTGCAAAAATAAAAATAAAAACTGCGCTGATCAAGTTAACTAGCATGACTAGCCTGTTAGCCACTGTGCGTGCCTCTGCTAAGCAAAGGCCCCGCCGAGTGCTTTTCTACTCAAAATGAGCCTAAGAGTTGTGTTTTGTTGTGTGCCGGCGTCCAGTTATTCGACGCCGCGTGTGTGTGTGTCTCTCTGTAAGTGTTTTTTTTTTTTTGTCTTTCCTGGCCAAGGATGTCCACTGCTTCCGTTCTCTTCCCACGTTTCTACACCTCCGCAATCATGTGTGTCTTTCGTCTCCTGCTTTTCCCTCCTTTATATTCAACAAGCTCATGGACTCTCACCGTCTTAGAATTGTAAAAAAAGAAAAAAGTTATATATAAATATATATATATATGATTTTGTATTGATTTGAGAGTTTTACACTACTTTAAATTATTAATTTGCACATTAGGTACCGATGTAAATAGCAGGAGAAAAAGAGACAAAATAAGATTAGTTTATTGTTAACCGTGGTGTCCGTGTGGTTCTTGTGGAAGGAAGGTGTGTGTGTGTGTTTGCAGATGTGCGCATGTGTGTGTGTTTGCTGCAATTTGAGGCTGCTGTTTGATTCTACAGTACACAACACACATTAAACTATAGACTGATTTCACGCGGCCGCCATTTTCAAAAGCGAAATCGAGGCTGCGGTGGGAAGAAACCCGGAAGTATCATTGGGTCTTAGATATCTTATCAGCGAAGAGAAAGTGACACAAATTGATCATTTCACCCGAAGGTCCGTTTTGAATGAATGGTGAAAATAAAAAGTGATATCAAAGCTAATTTTCAGCCAAGTTAAGGAAAATGGCACTAGTTGGCTAACGTTTTCTTTTCCAAACACACATTTTAGATGCCATTTATCAAATTTGAGTTAATAAACTGATTCTTTCACTATATTAGACTAGTCATGATACTGAATTATAAGAAAAAACATCAATTTTCTGTTAACATTTAAGGCGCTGTTGATGGCTTTCTTAAAACAGCGCTGATTTGCCATTGTGTTCACGTGCTCAACAGAAATGATTGTGATTGGCCGAGAAGGTCATTAGTTCACCATGCGCTGTATACTGAGCACAAACACAGACGAGCCGAGTGATCTGCTTGATGACTCGACTGATCTTCACGGCTGCTTCGCACTTCAGTCTCCGTGTATCTGTGGCCCCGTTTACACTAGTGCGTTTTAGTTTGAAAACGCATAAGTTTTGCTACGGTTACGCCATCCGTCCACACTACGCCGGAGTTCTCGAGCGCCGAAAACGGAGCTTTTTGAAAACGCTGGAGAGGCCGTTTTCATTCTGAAACGCTGCTGCTCCGTCTCAGTGTGGATGGGGAAAGACGGAGACATCTGAAAACGGAGGCGGGGCTGCTGACATTCGCCTCTCTGATTGGGGCTTTTCCTCAATATTAAGTAGCCCACACACAGTTCAGTCTCGCATCCTCTTCTTGTAAGTTAAGACTTCGCAAGTTTGATCAAGGCTGCAGTCTCCCCCTTCTCAGTTTGATATGGAAAACATACCGAGGACACGGGTAAATCTTCAAAGGGAACAGTGTACTTTATAACTTCATTCACATCACCCTGGCTACGTTGTTTCACTTTCTCAACAATAAAATGTAAACATGATTTAAGGAACTGCCTATTTTCTTTTTAATATTAGCAACTTAACAGACAGCAGAAATGTTGAGGTGTCGTGCTGCATATATGAGCGTCATCTTCACTGTGTGGATATTTATAACAAAACGGAGCCGATAACAACTGCCTCCTTTCAATTTCAGTGAAAATACGAAACGCACCCTCTCTTTTGCTGAATATCAGTTTTAATAATCG